TGGAAGAACTACCTACTTTTAGACAGAAATTATAGTGCATATCTACAGTCAAGTAACTAGTTAGCAGTAACATAAAGACAGGAACTCAGGCCTTTCCTGAACTTTCCAAAACAAGTGCAATGCGGAATCAAATTGAACAGATTACATATTAAAGACTAGAAAGTGGTATCCCATTAGCTGAGCCAAGGGTTCAATAAGTGAAGAAATTACATCACTGAACAAGGTCACCACATTCACCAACTTGACGGCGATCATCACATACTATGAAAGCACTGTGCTACATAAATACAGGAGTCCTGGTGTGATGCTGTGGGTTAATGTGCAGGACTGCAAAAAAATCGGTTTGAACTGTAAGGTCTGCGGTTCAAGATCACCAGCTGCTCCTAGGAAACTCTATACAGGGTCGCTCGAATTGACTCGACTTGACAGCACTTAACAACAACATATAAATACAGGGTAAGGAGAAACTGAACTCTGCCTGGAGGTAGGCAGAAGACATGAAATCTATCTTGTATTTAATAAAAGGATCCCACTCTTCAAACCACTGACATTTGCCTCACCATTAATTAATTTAGCAAGTATTTGTGTATCCTCGTTGGTTTACATTTTGTTCTTGTAGTTAAGTGCCGTCGAGTCGATCCGACCCATAGCAACCGTATATAGGATTTCCAAGGAGCAGCTGGTGAGCTTGAACCACAGACCTTGCAGTTCAAATGAATTTGCATACAGATCATGTGTTCTCAGGTGTATGAGGGACCAAGAGTATCCCCAAAGTCTTTGCAATTAAGAGGATAGGGTACATCAGCCGCACAGTGGTACTGCAAACAAAATTGGTGATGACTTGCATAAGAACAAATCCACGGCAAAACACCCGGAAGTGTAATGGAACACTTGGCCAGACCTCCACGTGACCCTTAAACCAGCATACTAACCTTTGACAGCCGGAAACCAAACAGTTTCTCCGGGTTCTTACTCTCCGCCCCGCTGGATCCCAGCCCCGCCCCGGACGCAGCGCAAAGGTTGGTGTTCTCAGCAATGATGAAACTTCCTGCACTGGTTACAAGAGGAGACGCAGGGGAGTAAGACTGCCGGCTGCTCCTTCCGAATCCTGCATTTTGTCCCGTACGCGCCCAGGTAAATCAGACTCCCACTTCTCGGCGAGTGTTCACCCCCTCGTGCCCAGGCTGTTTTGGGGGTGGGGCGGGAAGGGGGCTCTGAGGATGCACTGCGGCTCGAGGCTGGAGTGCCCCGGAGCAGCTCCGGGAGCCACGCGGATGCTGCGGCTTGGTGCGACTAGAGAGGGTGGGGCGGGCACCGCTCGATTGTTGCGCACCTAGGAGCCAGCAGGCGAGAAAAGACCCCTGTCGCTGTCCCCTGAGGGATCGAAGGAACTAGTAGAAGTCAGCGGCAGGGACCCCGGCAGCCGCCGCTCCTGGGGGGTGTTACCGAGGCGGAGAGAAGCGGGGTCGCCCCGGAGACTCTTGGAGATAGTGGTGATCTAAGTCGCTTTCTATACGTATTTTTTTAACTGTATTGCGTCGAAATCTAGAAATCCGTATCTCGTCTCTCAGCCTCTGAGGGCTCGATGGACGCACGTGGTCAGGCAGCAGTGGAGCATCTTCCGCCTGTGCGGTCAGACTGTCCTTGTCTTTGCGTAGAAGGGTCTGAGACATCAACCACTGCCTCTGTGGCTGTACCTTTCCCCAGGCCCACCCTGCGCCTTTGTAGACTGCCAAGCTCAACAAATGACTTACTGAACAAGCTCAACAAGAAGGGAAAAGGCCAGAGTCCTCAAAGGATAGCTATTTTATAGGATTATCCCAGATTAATGCTGCTGATTTGAATACAGAAACAGTTTTCTTTCAGCCTGTGTATCTGCGGTATTTCTTTACTGCCTTTGGCCCTGTTGTTGATTAATAGTTTAAAAACACCTGTAGTTCTTTTTCATTGACTAATCGTGTTACTGTAACAATACTAAATACTAGGTCTTGAACCTGTCCAGGAGCGGCCCCTAGATCATAATGTCAAATTAAGATGATAAAGTGAAGTTCAAATAGTTGATACATTGAATAAAAGTTAAATGTACTGAAAGGGCGCTGTCAAGTACGGTGGCTTCCAGCCACATGGGACTATTGTACACATGAAATAGCCATCTGTATTGAAAAGTGCTGTAATAGTAACATATGTTGGATCTGAACATTTAGGTGGGAAACAGATAATGTTTATATTGAATACATGTTCAGTGGATACTATTTAGAGTATGTTGTGTTGTTAGATAAAATACATTGTAAATTATTATCTATTTTAATATTACTGCTAGAATATTTAAAATTACGTGTGGTTTGCATCTGAGGAGACTTCAAAAAGTTCATTAAAAAATTCCATTATTCTTAGTTCCATTTTTCTGTGAACTTTTTGAAGCCTCATATTTCTATTAATCATCACTGTTCTAAAAGTTTTTGAGGAAATATGGAAATTTATGGAAATAAGCAACAGCAGTTAAGGACAGGCATTGAAAGTAGGACCTTTGTTCTCTGATAGGGTTCATTTCAATAAAACTCTTAGGCAATAGCTATAATTTGCTTCTATCAGCTGAAGAATTAAGTGTACTTCATAAACTCTTGTTCTTCTAATTAGAGTGGTTAATTTGTGCTTTCCTATAGCAGGTTTAATGCTAGGACTCACTAAACCGCAGCATTAAGAAGACTTAGGTAAATGATTCACTGATGACCTCATGGAATTTTTCAGAGCATTTTCCTAATTCGTTTTTACTTGATGGTCAATGTTAGATGGTTTATTAGTAGTCATCTCACATAAGTTCTGATTTATTTAACCACTAGATGTTAAAGTAAATATTTCATTGTATACTGTTTGGCCAGATCATGGACCAAGTTGCTTGAATTAATGCCATTTTCCATTACTGTTAATCATTGGTTTATGAACATCTAACTTACAGTTAAGAACCAATGCTAGTAAAGGCTATTAAGTTAAAAAATTTGGGTGCATACAGTGGTTCCTAATAATAGGCACCACTTTGCTACACACAAAAAAAGTTACTATTATTACTGCTGTATTATGTTTAAGATGTTCTAAGGAGCTCTGGTAGCGTAGTGGTTACGAATCGGGCTGGGAACCTTAAGGTTAGCGGTTCGAAACTACCAGCTGCTCCGCAGATGAGGCTTTCTACTCCCGTAAAGATTTACACCCTCGGAAACCCTATACAGGGTCGCTATGGGTTGGAACCGACTCGATGGCACATAACAACAACAATGTATTTGAAAGTGTTTCCTTAGTATTTTTTAGGCATAGAAATGTGTACTGTATACTAAGATTAACTGAAGCTAGATATGAACTGTATATCACTATTCCGGGAGCATCGATGGACTCAAGTGTGGCAGTAACTTGGCAGAGGTTGGCCCAGGATCGGGCAGTGTTTTGTTCTGCTGTGCATAAGGTCGCTATGGGTCGGTACCGACTCGATGGTACCTAACAACAACAACAACATTCTGGTTTATGTACAACTTTGATTTAAAGGCAGATTCAGGCATGGGATTTGTTCTTAATTCAGGGATTACCTGTAATTTGATCTGGTTTTATTTAAAGACTCAGCATAATTTTTATTCATATAGATATAAACAATTATGTATAATGTAGTGTTCTCAGAGTACTTGCTCTTGTTCAAAGTGGTTGAACTTGAATATAAATTTTTTCTTGTAGGGTTTTTGTCCCGAATCTAGACATTTGTTGCAAATTTCCATCTTTTTTTAAATGTAAAAAGTTATTTGCCAAGTTACTGCCGTTTTGGAAAAAAAGGAGTTTGAGATCAAAATAAGAAAAGGCATTTATTTCACAGCTGAGAACCTGGAGTTTGGAAGTAATTAACTTTTGTAGGAATTCTTTATTCCTGGATGAGCCAAACTTTTTTAGGTAGGAATACTGTTAACAATAGCTTTCCTACTTTTTCTTCCTGTTGACCAAGGCAGCTTTGAGACACAATTATTTGCAAACTATTTCTTTGTATGGTCATTTAGGAGATTTTGAGGCACTCTGGTTAAATGTTCACCTGATAACTGAAAGGTTGGTGGTTTGATCCTACCACTGGCTCCATGGGAGAAAGATAATTGTGATCTGGCCACATCAAGATTATAGCCTAGAAAACCATAGGAAACAGCTCTACTCTGTCACGGGGGATTGCTGGGAATTGGAAGTAGACTCTGTGGCACTTAAAAACAACAGGACATTTTGATGATGATGAACATTTTTGTTATCTTCTGTCAACCTAAACTGTTTTATTGCCTTAAAGCCAGGATATCTGATATCAGATTATATATAGTTCTTGTTAAGTGCCATCCATTTGGTTTTGACTCTTAGCAACCCAGTATAGGGTTTTCAAGGAGCAAGTTATTTGAGAGGGCTTCAACAAGTTTGTGGAAAAATTTGATTATCTTTTAATTCCATTTTTCCACCAATCTTTTGAAGCCCCCATGTATATCTTAATATTACACTTTAGCAACATGTGGGATCATCATCATCACCTGCTGTGAACATTTCATTGTCTAGAGACTCAAGAGGGAAACTACATTGACCTGGAGGCATTTGAGACTCTGGGGTAAGGAGAGTGGGTCTAGGTTGGAGCCAGCCTACTTGCATATCTATTCTCTTGGGAATAAATTTAGAATGCAGGGATTGGATGAGGCCTAGATGGCTCAGCTCTTATCAACCACCAAAGCCTAAGGTGGAAGGATGCAAGGTTTGGCTAGGATAAGCTGTTGTAACTGGCTACATGTAAAGGTCATCTGTCTTTTCTGAAAGCCTATAAATAAATTAAATCACTCTCTAATCCTGTGTGCCTCCAATTTAAAGGAAAATTGCTGTAAATAAGACACGTTCTATTTCAGTCTTTGAAGTGGTTTATTCACATTTTTGGACTCTGATTTAGTGCAGATGAATATTGATTTGCCTGCCTATCTCTTCCTAGAGCATTCGTGTCTTACTCCACCATGTGTGGCATTTGGGCCCTCTTTGGCAGCGATGAGTGCCTCTCAATTCAGTGTCTGAGTGCTATGAAGATTGCACACAGGGGTCCCGATGCATTTCGATTTGAGAACGTCAATGGATACACCAACTGCTGTTTTGGATTTCATCGCTTGGCCGTGGTTGACCCGCTGTTTGGAATGCAGCCAATTCGACTGAAGAAATATCCTTACTTGTGGCTCTGTTACAATGGTGAAATCTACAACCATGTGAAGGTAAACAAAATGAGACCAGATAATATCTGGGTTTAATTAAAACCTTGAATTGATGTCTTATAATGTTATTGTGTATTTTCTTGGATGCATTTTGGGAACTGTGGTGGCTCCATATGATCAGTACTGGTCAGAAGTTCGAGCCCACCTCTATGGGAGAAAGAGGAGGCTTTCTGGTCCCACAAAGATTTACAGCCTTGGAAATCCTATACAGGGTATAAGTCAGAACCAACTTGATGGCAGGTAACAACAATGAGATGCTTTTTACTTTCTTTTGTACTTTCTGTATTCATTATCTCATGAGCTCCGATTGTATACAGAACACTGATGCACCAAAAGGTGAAATGTCTCAAACACAACAAAGGTGATAAAGTTAGAACTAGGATTCCAGTTCTTTGACTCCTAATAGAATAGTGTGTATGTTTTGTGTTGTGTTATTATTGCTGTGGGTTAAGCATTGGGCTACTAACTGCAAGGTTGGAAATTCACTCCCCACTCATACTGCAGGAGAAAGATGAAACTGTCTGCTGTCATCAAGATTTACAATTTAGAAAATCCTAAGGAGCGAGTCTACTTTGTCCTATATAGATTCACTATGAGTGAATAACACATCCAACCAAACCCACGGCAAATCCAACATACTCAAAAAATAACACACTCCAACCAAACCCACGGCAAATCAAACACACTCAAACAATAACACACTCCAACCAAACCCACGGCAAATCAAACACACTCAAACAATAACACACTCCAACCAAACCCACGGCAAATCAAACCCACTCAAAAAATAACACACTCCAACCAAACCCACGGCAAATCAAACCCACTCAAAAA